CGGGACCCGCCCGCCCGCCCCGCCCGGGGCCGCCCCCGGCCGCCGCCGCCGCCAATCCCGGCCCGGCCCAGCCCGGCCCCCCCGGGGCCGCGGGGAGTTTTTTTTTGTTGTTGGGCTCGAGTTATTTTAATTATTTTTTTTCCCCTCCTTTCCACGAAAAACTGTCTCAACTTTGATGAACTTTCTGGTTTCGACTTTCTTAAAGGGCCCGCCGGGCTCTGCGCTCGCGGCGGGGCCAGGCCGCTCCTCCCGGCCATCCCCGGGTCGGGGGGATGTGGCTGAGCCCCGCGGGGGTCCGAAAGCCCGGAGACGGCATCTTTGTGACACCCCGATGAGAGCTCTGAGCCCCATGAACAGCAGCCCTGAGAGCTCAGGATGGGGGTCCTGTAACCCCAGAAAAGCAGCCCTGAGCCCCCGGGTAGCAGCCCCAAAGACCCCCATAGCAGCCCCCAGTACCCTGGGGACAGCAGCCCAGTTCCTTCTGCCAGGGCAGCCCCACATCCATCCCCACAGACATCGGTGGGTGCCCAGAGCAGAGCCCTGTTCTTAGGCTTGGGAGGAGGAGCAGGATTCAGGCATAGAATCATGGAATCCCAGAATGGTTTGGGTTGGAAGGTACCTTAAAGATCACCTCATTCCAATCCCCAGCCATGGGCAGGGACACCTTCCACTATCGCAGGTTGCTCCAAGCTCCATTCAACTTAGCCTGGAACACTTCCAGGGATGGGCCAGTCACAGCTTTTCTGGGCAACCTACGCCAGGGCCTCACCATCCTCACTATCTATCTCCAACCAGCCTTATCCTAAAGGATGAGTGCTCCCCGTCCTCTGCTGGCCCTGGTTGGAGACACCTGTGCTGTCCCCCCAGCACTGAATGTCACTTCAAAATCCTGGCTCTGTGATCATTTCCTTCCAGCAGGAGCTCAGGGACATCATTTTGCTCATGTGCATGTTGTGAAGAGGTGTGAGCCTCTCTGGGGGCAACCACAGACGATTTCCCCACCACACCTGGGTCCACTGCCCTGTTCAAGCCCCAGCCTCTGACTCCATTCACCACCTGGTTACAAAGAGGCTCCCTATGAAAATGTAACCCTATAAGCTCAGCTGTCCCCATGCACAACCATTGTCCAGCACAGCCCATGGTGCTCTGTGGCCAGTGCCAGAGAGACAATGCAAGGAACACCATCACCAAGGGGGTGCCCACAGTCAAGTGCTTGTTGGGGGCGAGTGGTTCCATTGCAAGAGGTGTGTTGGAGGAGAGGAAACACCCTCCTGGGAGCATTGGCTTTATGTTTCCTTGCTTTCAAGGTTAAGGCTTTCAGCAGTAGCAGCTGTTTGCATGCGGCAGGGCGGGTTTGTGTACGGAGTCCTCACACAGACAGTGGCAAAGCCACCGCTTCTTTTTCCAAGGCTTTGTAACAAGCTGCTAAGCCAGAGATCCCTGCCAGGACCTGCACAAGGGGAGAAAAACCCCACTCTTTAACTAAAAAACTGCACTTTATTAATTTAAAATGTTGTCCTACAGAGTGGTCTTTTGGAAGACTTCAACACATCAGCCCTGTACACAACAGTGAGAACCCCTCAGTTCATCCACAGAGCTCGGCATGGACAGATCTGCAGCAGAGCAAGGGCTTTCCCTGATCTTCAGGGTTGCTGTGCTTCCCCGTAACTTCATCCCCAGCATAAGGCTGCACAGGAGTAACTCCCAGGAAGAGCGTTGCCTGCCGTGCCACAGAGACTCCAAGTGAAACCGCCCTGATGAAGACCAGGAATATTTGCTTCCTGTGCTAATTAAGCAAAACCCAGCATAACCTTGCAGCTCTTTCTCTGTGTTTAGCTTTGGTGTTTTACTTTCTACAGACTTTGAGTCCAGAGCCTGCGGCCAGAGGAGGAAGGCACAAACGGATGGACTTCAGAAGCAGCAGCGGGTTTTCATCAGACTCCCAAGGAAGCCACACTGCACACACATGTAGGGGAGGCGTGCTGCTTCTTCCACAGCAGGAAAACCCCAGCCACAAGCAGAAGAGCTGCTGCGTCCATCACACTGGAGTGATGATGGTGGGTCTGCCACATCACTGCTGCACTGATGGCCACAAGCTGTGGTTTATTCTATAGGCAAGTTCATCCCATTGGGCTATAAGAGCAGCATCCTCCTTGCATGCTCACCCCTCAAAGCTGTGTGTGGTGTCAGCATCCCTACATCCCAGCATCTTGTGGCTCATTGTCCCTTTGATGTCCCAATAAACATCACACCCAGGCAGACTCTCCCCTCCTAAAGTGCTGAGGCACAGTAACATGTGCTTCAGCACATGGAGCCCTTGATGGTCCAACAAGCTGTATGGGGAGATATTCCTGCCCCTGGGAACCCAAAGGGGTGGACATGTGAAGCAGTCACTGCTACCAGCTTGTACAGGTGAGCCAGTCCACCAGAAAATGGTGATGTCTCTGCAGAGATTTTGGCTGACAATTCTCTCCACTTCCACATGGAAATGCTCAGCTTTAAGTGTGCAATCAGAGGCCACACCAGCTGAACCAGTGCAGAACCAAGCGACACTCTGGTTTGACCTTTCTTACCCACATCTCACAGTGATGTATTTTTACACCAACACTTTTTCCCCTGAGGCCCCTTCCACATCTGGCTCTGCAGTCTGGCCAAGATCTGCACCACAGCCTTGTCCTTGCCATATTACATCCATGGAGGTGTGCTGGTTAGAAGAGCAGAGGTAACGCTGTGATGCATCAAGCATCCACCCACCTCTCCCACATCAATTCCACAACAGGGTGGACAAGCTGGCAGTGAACCCTGTGACAATGTCCCACACAAGCAGCTCCAACCGTGCAGTGCTGCCTGCAAACAATGGGAACTACAGTGCCTCACCAAGGAAAAGGAGTGAGGTGCTCACAACCAACAAGCAGGTGTTAGAAAGGGGTAACAAAGTACTTGAGATAGAAACAGATTGGAATCAGCTGAGAAATTGAGGTAGGACTTGAAATGACAACCAGCTGTGGACAATCTTGTGTTTTCACACAGTTTCTCAGCTTTACATTTTCTCACTCTTCAACAAGCAGGTGACCAGCTCACCAGTTAAGGTGATAACGGAGGGTTGTCTCTCTCCAGCTGGGCTCCTGCATCTGCTGCCCACTCTGCTGCCCTGTGCTCCCAGGCCTCATTCATCCACCTGTAAAGAGGCCATGAATTTCATTTCGGGATCATGGTAGTTGTCATAGGGGGTACCTTGGGCCCCTGTTTCTCCTGAGCCCACCGCAGGTGGTGCCACACACTTTGGATGAGGTGCTGGATAGCTTTTACTGTTTCTCACTACTTATCTGGGACAACAGCTGAGCACTGGCACTTGTCCTAGGGCAGAGAGAACACTCCCATGCCACTTCCAGCATTTCTGAGGTATGGGGAAGGGAGAAATTCCTCTGCTTGCCACTGGTGCCAACTTTTCCTCCTCTTGTCCTTGCCCAGGAGGCCCCACATCTCCCTGGCCTGTGCCAACCAGCAGTGCTCTGCTGCTCTCCTCCATCCTCCATGTCCTTATGCCTCTTGCCCTTAGTCTATCTGGCTAATTATACTGGACTGGGATTTGCAACGCTGGCTGGGAAGAGGCCACCAACCATGGGACATGGAGGAACCCTGATTTCCAAGCAAGCAGTGAGACTAGCCGACCCCACTGTCATTGCTGAGACCACTGATGGGCACGTGCAAGCTGGGTGCTGGTGTCACTGAAGACTTCACAGAACCTCAGGTGAGTTTTCAGAGACCTCTCCAGCCACAGGCAGGTGAAGGCTTTAGGGCTGAGGTGCTGGTTTTGGTATGGATTGTCATCCAAACATCTGTAGACTTGTTGTAGTGATGGTGGGAAGGGACCTTGGGAGTCTCCCATCCAACATCCTGCAGGACTGTCACCAGCACCAGGTCAGGTTGGTCCTTCCTTGAAAACGCCTAGGGATGGAGCAACCCCACCTCTCCAAGTGTCCATCCCAAGGCTGCACCATCCAGCAGGGAAGGAGTCTTCCCTAACACCCAACCCAACCTTCCCAAGCCACCTCATGTGGCTGTTGCCTCACGTAACATCATCTGCCGCTACCCATGGGAAGTGTAGCTGCACCATCTTTGTAACTACACCTCTAGGAGATGTAACCTGTGAGAAGACTCCCTTTCAACCTCTTTTTGGCCAGAATAACCCAGCCCAGCTCTTTGCTGACCTCTCACCAGCCACTTCAGTGCTTCCCCACCTCCCAGTCCACATCTCTGCCCAGTGCAGAACCTGCACAGCCATTCCTCCTGGTCCCACAGCCTCCTTTGGTGCATTGGTCCCCAAACAGCAGGGATGGCATTTGGCCGAGGCCAGGCTGAAGAGCAGCTCCCAACCCCTTCC